GGTTTTGCGTATCACGGCAAATCTGTTCCTGTGTATAGGCTCCTGATGTGTCAAGATCCTTGGAATTAGTTCCATCTCCATTTCTCACTTTGTCTTCTCCGGCAACTTGTCGGCGATATTGATAACCTCCATCAGGATGTCTCCTAAAATGCTTCTGTCATGCTAAATTGAAAAATTGAGTCTTTTTTTAGGAACTCTGTTGTTTGGAGATTGAGATGAATTGATGATAAGTTTAGTACTTTCTTCGTATCATCGTGCTGAGCGGTAGGTGTTGTCACCTCGGAAGCTACATCAACTGGGCGTAAGGGCTTTAACTTTAGCCGTCTTCTAATCCCAAACTTACGCAATTTATCGTCAAACCGTTTTGTTATTAAGTCAGAAATCCTACATAATTTCCTATCGGTCATGCTCTGGAGTTTTTTTTAAATCTTCCGGAGACAGGATCCTGGTTAAATAAAGCCGGATCTTAATATCTATAAACGTAAACAACTTATAACGTTCAGTATAGGGTGATAGTAGGATAAGAGTGTAAAGAGTAGATAGACAATGACAGAAAGAGGAGTAATAGTGTAAACATTTTCGGCAGAACGGGATTGACGAGTTCGTAGCTTGGTGCAGAAAATGGCAAAACTCACTAATGATGCCGGCGAAACGTTTGGGAATGTACCAAGTTCCCTGTCTGATGCTGGAACAGTCTATGGCAGACGACTTTGGACTATGTGCGTTCTGATAAGTCTTCCTGACAACAAGACCAAGTTGCAACAACGAGGTCAACCCACTTCTATAGATCGAAAGGAGACTGCGACCAAACCAGTGGCCACAGCATTTTGGTCTTATATCTCCAAATAAAGTCTACTTAATTTTAATCTTCATACATACAATTCAGTTTTATTTTGATTTTCATCCTTTATTTATTTCTTCATTTCGCATATTTCATTATTCTTCCCCTGACCTGCTTTCTTGTTACTCGCTCACTTTTTTCTACATCTCCCAATATATGAATATAATTATTTCAATATATATCTTATCCTAATCTAATTTCCTTATCTTTTCTTTATCTTCCTATCAATATCATGTATATTTTGTCAAAAAGAAGTCACAGCGTGAAGTTGAGCTGGCTGAAATGCGTGAATCACGTCGGATTCAACGTTTGGCTGATCTAGAGGCTAAGACACGTATCCTTCGTCAGATCGAGGACGATCGTCTTGAGAAAGCCGAGCGTGATTGGAATTCAGGAATCTTATCTTCAAGCCCAGCAAATGCCGCTGTTTCTGAAGCCAAGAGCTCTGGTAGAGAAGAAGATGGTCCAGCAAATATACTTCAACAACGCAACTTGGCTGTCAATTTATCCAATACTACTTGTACAGATGTAATTGTAGCAAATTTTATCAAAATTTACCATTGATCTGTGATTTCTATTCTCTTATAGACCACCAAGATGCATTACTTAGGTCGACAGGCACTGGGCAGATAGCCGTTGTCATATTTTTAAAATTCATTTCGTACTTCGATTTTTCCTTTTAGTTTGCTATTCAAATACCATGTGTGTTTAGAAATAAAACGTTAAACCCATTTAGTTATCCATATAGGCGCCATTTCCCTGGCAACAATTTGTATTACGTATGTTTCCTCTAATTTATAGTTTACCAGACATTTTGACTTGCTCGTTTTGCTCTATACTCCTTACTCTTGCCATATTGCTTAGATCTTAAGAGTCTTTCTGGGTGAATAATAATTCGTCTGGAAATAGTTGGTCAAATCTTGGCGCCTGACTTTCGGTTTCAAGCCAACTTTCTCATTAGTTGAAAGGTTATTTTTAAGATGTACGAATATTAGCAACAATCGAGATTATACAGTTATAAAATGAAATTTTAGGAAACTTCTCTTGGGATTTAGTTTTAAAATAAGCCTGGGAAATATTCATTCAATGATTAATAGAATTTTGTTGGATGGATGTATTTTAAAGATGGCCTTTACGGCTATTTTAAACACCAGTGGAAACGGTAATTGAACTACTAATAAAAATCCTCTCTTAGTATCATTCAATGGGGAAGTCATCGCTTTGCACTAAATTGCTTTGCTACACTTGACCTCAAATTTCTCAATATCACCATATTTTTCCTTCATACACGAAGTGCCTACTCGCAAACTACTTTAAGCTACCTACCAACAAATTAGCATGTATCTGCATTGTTTGGTATGAAACTACCCGTCTCCCTTTGGATAACAATACATTAATTCTTAATATTCCGAAGGGACTAATGGTGGAAAAAAACTATACACTAAATGATCATACCTATTAAGAGTAACTTTAAATAAATATCATGTAATACTGATTTGCTGCAATCTTCTTTAGTCTTGTAGATTAGACTTGGCCTCTTGTTTTCTATACTCTCCTTTTATTCTCTCATCTTTCCTTTCCAATTTCTTTCACTTTTTATTTGGTTTAAACCATCTTTGAGTCTTACGTATATTCCCATTCCAGAATTTTCCTCATCCGTGTTTTATTTAATTTAATTTAATTTAATTCTCTGTCTAAGTTTCTAATCTCGTCTTATTTTTCTATCTTATCTTTTCTTACGTACTCTTCTTAAAATAATAATTCTATTCTCTGCATTCAGACACGACTCCAACTGCGCTTAACCCAAGGTGGATACCTGATTGCAACTTTTCATGCTAATGCCTGTCTGGCTCGAGATGTACGCGATTGGATTACAAAGCAGACTCAGCAGCCTGCAACAAGTATCACTTCCTCACATCCTGCCACATCAGCCTCTCAAGATGTAATAAACGGCCTTAGAAATCTTATCTCGACGGGCTACACCTTTCGACAACTACGTCCGGCGAGGTAGGTGGCTCACTGAGTTTTGTCGCTGGTCAAACTTCTCTAATTTTGATAGGTTCTATGTGATCAGTATATTTACTAAGTTACTTCACCTTTTTTTTAAATTTAATTCAGATTTGCTGGTCTGAAACGGTATTTTTTTTTATTCACATCTCCGTTATTTTTTATACTTTGTGACCTGATGGAAATCATTATCCGAGATTTTATCTATATGATTAGGCATCATTCTTAATGCAATTTATTTATTAAATATTTAGACCTTTTATTTCCTATTAGGAAACTATTGTAAACTCACAAATTTTTCTGGCCGGTTCTTGGAGAAGACTAGAGGTGCTATTGAATCTTTCCTATTTATACACAGCTAAATGCAGGTAATAATAAAAAATAGAGTAATCAATAGCATCATAAGTAAGTTTAGCCAATATGATCATATGGTACTG